GGAACCCGATACTCCCCGCCTCGCAACCCCACTAGGATAACACCTCCTAGGATAACACTCACAGCTAGGATAATAGGATAACACCTCTTGCTAGGATAACACTCACTGCTAGGGTAACATCGATTGCTAGGATAATACCCCGAACAGGATAATACTACCTTTGAATCCTTTCTTTACCCCTGAGTGACGACAGCGTCAAGGAGTTCGCTTTAACGTTCATTTTTAGCTTGGTAAAATTCAACTATTGATGCACCTTCTTTAACTTTTTTTAAATGTTCAAACAGATAAAGTTCTCTCAAACTTATAGAACGTGACCGGTAATTCTTTTCGCTTAAACTGAAATAAAGAAGAGAAATGGCAGTTATTAATTGTTGCCGTTATTCCGCAAACCATTCATAGTTGCCATTGTTACGAATAATATTCGTGGTTTATCCTCACGTCCTTGGTAACATTGCAGAAGTCAGAAAGAAAATGTTCACCGACAGCTGCAGAGTTCATTTATTTTTTACGTAGTCTTCCATTACTGTTTGCTCGAAGTTTTGATTATAGAGCAACGGGAGAAAAACGGGCGCCGGCCGCGGGGGATGAACAGCGTATTTAGCGACACCTGGTGTGGTGTATACAGATGTGTGGTGACTGGGGTGTAAAGCTGTGTGGTGACTGGGGTGTACAGCTGTGTGGTGACTGGGGTGTATAGCTGTGTGGTGACTGGGGTGTATAGCTGTGTGATGACTGAGGTAATACAGCTGTGTGATGTATGTGACTATCGCAGAGCGAAAGCCTAACTTTAATCAATTTAAAATATTTTAGTACAAAATCATCCGCATTTTCTAAGTTCTAAATTGTTCACGGTCACGTTGTTATAAAGGAACTCTTCCCTATTGCCATTCTACAGAGAAGGCCTATGATCCAATTGGCATGCAACAAGCGTGCAAAATTCATCAGGAAACTTGCGATGTTTGGTCGAACTTGAAGGATTTTACTCGCTCTGACATTTGTCCACAAGATTATCGTTTTTTTTCCTTCAGTTTATATTTTTTGCGCTCAGAACTCAGCTTCTATCAGAAAACTTTTCGGGAAGTCGGAGCGCTGACGAGCGGAAAGATCTGAGACGCCGTCTGATGAGCGGCCTTCAGCTCTGCAGGGGTCTGCTCACTCTGCAGGGGTCTGTTCACTCTGCAGGGGTCTGCTCACTCTGCAGGGGTCTGCTCACTCTGCAGGGGTATGCTCACTCTGCAGAAGTCTGCTCACTCTGCAGGGGCGTGCTCACTCTGCAGGGGTCTGTTCACTCTGCAGGGGTCTGCTTCACTGCAGGGGTCTGCTTCACTGCAGGGGTTTGTTCACTCTGCAGCGGTCTGCTCACTCTGCATGGGTCTGCTACACTGCAGGGGTTTGTTCACTCTGCAGGGGTCTGTTCACTCTGCAGGGGTCTGTTCACTCTGTAGGGGTCTGCTCACTCTGCAGGGGTCTGTTCACTCTCCAGGGATCTGCTCACTCTGCAGGGGTCTGCTCACACTGCAGGGGTCTGCTCACACTGCAGGGGTCTGTCAGGGGTCTGCTCACTCTGCAGGGGTCTGCTCACACTGCAGGGGTCTGCTCACTTTGCAGAGGTCTGCTCACACTGCAGGGGTCTGCTCACTCTGCAGGGGTCTGCTCACACTGCAGGGGTCTGCTCACTTTGCAGAGGTCTGCTCACACTGCAAGGGTCTGCTCACTCTGCAGCGGTCTGTTCATTCTTCAGCGGTCTGTTAACTCTGCAGTAGTCTGTTCACTCTGCATGGGTCTGCTCACTCATCAGGGGTCTGCTCACGCGAAATCTGTCTACACACTCTGAAGCGGTCTGTTCACTCTGAGGTGGTCTGCTAACTCTGCTGTGGTTTGTTCACTCTGCAGTGGACTGTCGCATTGCAATGGTCTGTAGATTCTGTCGTGGTCTGCTCAATCTGCAGCGGTCTCTCTGGAGCATAGCAACAGCATCATTTGCTCAAGTGTGCTGTAGGAACTTTTTCCTCCAGCTATCTATTCTATTAAACATCCATTGCTCATATGTTTCATAAACATTTTTATTTATTAAATATTGCAACAGCATCTCTGCTCATATGTTGTGTGAACATTTTCACCAATAAAGTATCGCAGCATCTTTTTGCTCACGCGCGTTGCAGGAACTTTCGTCTCCCCTGCATATTGCTTGCCTTTGAATTCGTATTTTCGAGTCTGTTTTTCTAAGGGCAGTTTGTGGGGCAGGAATGATTTTTATGAGCCTGGTCGCGCACCGCCCATATTTGCATGAAATCAATCAGGCGACGCGACGCTGCCATGTTGCGGCCCACGGTCACGATGCACACCACTGCGGTCAGTCTGCGTTCCGCGGTTGATTTTTAGCAGATTTTTACATTTATTAAATACGCAGCAAAAATTGTTTATTGATTTTGGTATGATAAATTTATAGACAATATTTTTCAATGTTTTAGTACATTCTTCTTGAGAGGATTGGTTTAGATGAGATGAATGAATGTTTCTGAGAATTCGGGTTCTAATTTGCAGCGGAAGCTTGCGAAACTGTTTAACAAATTTTTAGTTAAGACTATACTAATAAACAAATGTATACCTATGAAGGCAAATATGGAGAGACCACTTGAAACTTAGCAACAACCATATGATGCGATGCAAGAAAGAAACTAATTTACTTCTTAATGAATTAACAAGCGAGTGTCGTACAAAGTACCAAGTATAGTACAATACCGAGCAACAAGCGGGTGCGGGATCAGCTGCCATTGTGTGGGTCACAGTGACACACAAAAGACAATATTGAGAGCAGGTGCGCATGTCCGTTGCGGTAGCGACAGGCTGCACCTCACGATTTTCCGCACGTACATGAGCGCCGCTACGGCTGAATTACTTGAGAATGAAGGCCTAATGGCGCTAACGATGCTATAATGAAGTACCGCTCACGGTATGGAGAGCAGCAGTTATGCTGCAGCTGTGAGAGCCGCAGCTGTTGCAGCTGCAGTCTTCAGCTTTAAGGGCAGATGTAATGGCCCCAGCAAAGAGAGCTGGCGACTTCAATACTCGCCTTCCACCTCATGATTTATGAGTCGAAACTTTTCCAGGCAGGATTAAAAAAAGTTTTGACATTGCTAGTCCGACAGCCAATATCTATCAATTCTTTGTAGATAGCCTGGCAATCGCTGAGGAGAAACTATGCTTCGTACCCCGTATAACCGATCCAGTTAAACACTTTCATTAACGATCCGTTAAAATAATTCTGCATTGACGATCCGTAAAATACCTTCATTAGCTATCTCGTCAAGCACTTTCCCTAACGATCCGCATAAACACCCCTGCTTTAAAAATCCGATAAAACAAAGCAGATCAATGAATTTTCCTCCCGGGAGATTTCTTGACTCCGATGCATGTATGTTATTGTTAAAAGAAAGGCCCTTATTGTCTATTCTGCTAATTTATCTTTTTTATTTATCAGCATGCAGTGACAGAGCTTCGTTAATACGTGCGTGAGAATGTTGGCAACATCTTCATAAGTGTTCTTACTACATGTAAAAATGCAATCTTTGATGATGGCTTTTTTTTTAATTTGCAATGTATAGATATAATACATATAAAAAAGGCTTAGTATCATAAAAAAATATTGATTTCTAAAAGCTTGTGAAAATTTTTTTATCGTATCAACCATATCTTAACAACTTTCATCCACCATCATCAGACACCTTAGAAATTCGGCATTTCAGATGAAAACAATTCAACATTAAAATGGCACCTAAACTCCAATTCCGGTGAACCTAATATTGAATTGCTTTGTTCTAACTTGAGCAAAATTCTTAACCGAATTTTAAAAATAAGATAATCCTGGATAATTCTATTGAGAGCGTTAGAAAGTTTTCACTAAATAATTTTTTGGGCGAAGTAGCTCATAAATTTTCGAATAAAGTAGTTAATTTAAAAATTTTTGGCAATGAATAGTGGATTCAACTCTAGTTCAATAAGGGTTAATTACTTATATATAATATTCTAAATCATGTGCTGCTAATCAGTACATCACCCGCAGCTTTTCGGTTAAGAGTCGTCCTCTACTTATACATTCATAGTCGTATACATTATCAATGTATAAAATAATTGATGAATAATGTATTGTCTAGCACATTTTTCTCAACAGCATGCCTGGTAACAAGATTCGACGTAGAAAGGTTATTTTTTCTCTACAAAAAACTTCAACGCTGAGGCATTGACAGTCATGTATAATTCAATGATGAAACTAGTTGAATTGCTTAAAAGATCAAATACAAGCATGTGTCTCAACAAAATGAATTAATTTAATAATAACATACTTTTTTAAACAAGACATTCATTAAAAATCACTCGCATCTTCAATTGTCGAAATTATATTTTTTTGGTTCATTTTACATTAAAACACTGGAAGCAAACACTGAATAATACAATAATAATACGACGAATAATATGAAGAATAATACGACCTTTAATATTATTAAAGATATTACACATTTTCTACCGATGTTCCCGCAACTGACGGAAGACGGAGAAACGAACTGTTCGGTAACTGCTCGTGATTAATTATGATATATGCATGCACTACAGTCACTGTTCGAACACATTTCTATTCTTTATTGTCGTAGATGAAAAATTATAACCCGAAATAAAAACACAAAGTTATTTCATTTAAACCTTATCTTTTGCTATAATACGGCCCATCAATTATAGTAAAAAAGTTATCCGTGCAATGTATTGTGATAAAATTAGTTATAGAGTAAATAATTACAGTGATTACTGTGAATTAACGCAGTACTGGGGGAAAATAGATACATTGACTGGGGTAAATAAATAGATTAAACTGATAATTCAGTAGAGTATTTAGGGTTATAATTACATTGCATGGAGTAAATTGCTACAGTACATGGTTTCAATGACACAGTAGTTTGAGTAAATAAATAAATACTCAGGATTAATAATTGATCGTTGATACTCACCGCTGTAGAAAAGGGAGGACTTGGCGGGGAAGGAGGCGTAGTATTGTGGGGACTGCGGCAGCTCGGGGATGTGGACTTGCACGATGCGGTCATTAGAGTCCCCGTCACTGGGGACGTGTTGCACGATCTCGAGGGGAGGATGGGGAGGCTGCAGCAGCTGCAAGTGAGACCCACCGTCGGGAGGTCGTGATACTTCCCCATAGTACACGTGTCTGGGGGAGGACGTGGCGACGTGTAGGTCTAGAGGGCAGCCTGAAGGTGTGTAGGACGAAGATGATGATGCTGGGCTTGAGGGAGAAAGGTGATGATGAGGGTGATGATGATGGCCATTTTCAGGGGGAGGAGGTGAGGGAGCTGTTTGCCCAGCGGTGGGGGAACGCGGAGTCCAGCCATGGTCGTGGGGTGAGGGCGACACTGACCTCACCCTCGGCGGGGGGAAGTACAGTGGGTCCCAGCCTGCCGCCTTCTTTGGGAGGAAGCAACGAGGCATGACGGCTTCCCCAGCACGAGACGACACAGCCCCAGGGGCGCTGAACTTCACCCGCCACCGCGTAAACTGGTCGAAGAAATCGTGTGCAAACAACAGGACACTGATAAGAAATCAGGAGTCGTCGGATGATAAGTGGACATTTATAGCGAGTCGGGGAACGTCAACAGACCTGCAAGCGGTGCAACAGTGTTCGAGAAGCAACAGCTTGTAAAGTGTCAACAAGAGCAACAGATGAACAGAAGCTACAGTTGACGTCAACAGGCATGATGTGCCAGATGAACGTCACCGGAGAGCATACATCTGATAACAACATAAATCATTGATCTATACAAATCAAAGATAGCTCAAAGCAGCCCTGCTCCCAGGAGCGATCATTTAAGAGGGCCAGAAGGTCACTAGAGTCTCACTCGACGGCACATCCTCACAGGGCCACGGCCCACCACCTAGTGTTAACCTCTCTCTTGCTCGTCCTTATATAGCCTCGACTCCCACACTCACTCCACCAAACTTCCAGGCCGCCCACTGGTGCCACCAGTCCAACGCCCCGCCCAGATTATTGCTGTTTTCATCAGTAGCCTTTGAAGTGAAGGCCTGACGATTCTCACAGTCAAGCATTCCAAGGAGAACATTTCCCCTTGTCTCCCATGGTAAAGTCGCGGCACGATTTCCTCAAGCCCAAAGTTGAACGCAATGACCACAGCGCTTGAGACGACGCCGATTGCTGCACTGCGCCACATTGTAGGCCTACATAGAGCTGTCCTAGGCCTGCTGTCTATGATCCTATCACGGACACACTGCATGATCCCTCGGCTACTTCACGCAATGCAGATGGGCAATAATTGGCTCGGTTCTCTAAATGGTAAGAATCATGAGTGTACACGCTCCCAATTCTGCGCTTTACATTGAGAAACAGCTTGCTTTAAGGCAGGCATTGCAGATGCTGCAAGACACGTAACTTAGTCCCGTTACCGACAATTAGCACGACACAAATGCCCCTGCGACAATCCATAAATTCCTACGTGATCATCAGCCCATTTGTGCTCGGCCATTAGCGGGCCCACGCACGCGCTCGTATCGATTGCGCCGCGGAAAATCGATAGTTAGTTAAATCTCAGGCGCAAATTCCGTGGACTTAGACATGTGGTCACCCGCGTTACTTATTTTTTTTAGTTTACTTTTCCGAAGAAACTTTATCGCCGAACAACTTAAAGAAATATTCAATAAGTTGCAGGCAGATGTGTGGAAGCAGCACAAAATATGAATCAAATAACAACAATGCCTTGTTATTTGTGAAAGTTTCTAACGGATAACATGTGAAGTTTCAAGGAATAAAGTAGCTTTTTTCTATTTTCTTTAGTATGAGATGTTCTTGATTTCCTTCAAAAAAACTTAATTATATAGTTATAACTATATAAATAAGTTATAGATATAGTAATAAACTTAATTAATTTCAGTTATATAAACGAAGAAGTGAACTATTTCTATCGTGACCCTGCGTTATATAAATGAGAACAATGAATTGAAATGGGCCTAATTCGACCGGGCCTCATTTTGAGACTATTTATTCATACCAAAAACTAAGAAAGCTTTTTAATATTTTTTAAATAATGTATATTTATTAGTTTCCAAAAATATGATTTATTGCTTCTTTGCTTACAATTACACAATATACTCGGTTTTTAACTAATTTGAGATAATTGTCATGTGAGCGCTCACATACACAACGATATCTCATCAGAACAATCAGTAATCGCCTGCCTTATATGGACCTGCAGTGGCCGGCATAGGAGGAATTAAGGCAGTCTTACGGGCGGCCAACGCTTGGTCGGTCAGCGGCGGCCGCCTGTACGGCGACCTCAGCAGCTGCGTCGGGGCGGAGCCTGAGACCGGGCGCCTCCCTCAGCAACACGTGGACCACTGTTGCAGCTATACTGTTGCTGCTCCTGTTGCAGCTATACTGTTGCTGCTCCTGTTGCAGCTATACTGTTGCTGCTCCTGTTGCAGCTATACTGTTGCTGTTCGATATTTTTTAGTTGAGTGCACCGTATCACTGCTACGGTGCACTCGGTAACAGAAGATATGCTTTCTCGTGTGTGGGACGAGTTTGGCTACCGTTTGGATGTTTGGCTACCGTTTAGAATGGGGACATAATCAACATTTATAAATGTGTAAAAAAAAACTTCGAATATTATTCTTACCATTGGTGTATAAATTATTCATTTCTAATTTATATTTAAATAAATACAAAATTATTAAATTAGGTCCATCATTTCGAATAACCCTGTATAATTGGATTATAATACTTTCATTTTCTCCGTTTTAGAATAAATCTGTTTTTCAACTGCGATGCTGATTATGAAACGATGTTATTCTTTCAAAATCTTAATTAAATTTTTCTTAATTGAAATTTGTTGATACTTTTATCCATTCATCATAATTTCCATATGACGCAGATCCTTTTTTGTTATATAAGATATTATTGTCTAATGCGTATTATATCATTATAATACAAATGTATACTTAATTATAATATGGGATAGAAGTAATTTACTAATGAGATTTTGATGGTTTTCTTTGAAAGGAACTTGATTCCTCATCCCTGGCAGCCAGAAGGATTAGTTGAACTGCAGATAGCAACGATCGCTGCACAACTTCTGGCCAAGTTAGAGTCCGTCTTTTGTGCGCGCGTCGCGGCCTAGCGGACGCCGATTCAGGGCGGTGACTGCGGACCAAGTTGGCCTCCGCGCTCCACTAACTTGGGTCTTTAGGCGCCCTTCTTGTGGGTCTTTAGGCGCCCTTCTTGAGGGTCTTTAGGTGCCCTTCTTGCTGGTTTTTAGGCGCCCTACTTGTGGGTCTTTAGGCGCCCTTCTTGTGGGTCTTTAGGTGCCCTTCTTGTGGGTCTTTAGGCGCCCTACTTGAAGGTCTTTAGGCGCTCTTCTTGTGGGTCTATAGGCGCTCTTCTTGCGGGTCTTTAGGCGCCCTTCTTGCAGGTCTTTAGGCGCCCTTCTTGCGGGTCTTTCTGCGCCCTTCTTGTGGATCTTTAGGCGCCCTTCTTGCGGGTCTTTAGGCGCCCTTCTTGCGGGTCTTTAGGTGCCCTTCTTGCGGGTCTTTGGGCGCCCTTCTTGCAGGTCTTGTCTTTAGGCGCCCTTCTTGTGGGTCTTTAGGCGCCCTTCTTGCGGGTTTTTCGTCGCTCTTCTTGCGGGTCTTTAGAAGCCCTTCTTGCGGGTTTTTCGTCGCTCTTCTTGCTGGACTTACGGCTCTCCATCACCCACACGTGCCAAGACCCACTCACCCAGGCAGGCCCTCGGCCAGCATGTACGTGTCGACTCTTGCTTGATGCGCGCTGACGTCACCACTGCACGTCAGCAACAACAACAACGCCATCACTGCACGCTGCCGTTATCACTGCACGCTGACGTCATCACTGCACGCTTACGTCATCACTGCACGCTGACGTCATCACTGCACGCTGACGTCATCACAGCACGCCATAATTAGCAAAAGCCGACAGAAAGATTGGTTACCGGACATTTTCATTGCATTGCTCCAGTAAAAATGAGCAGCTTATGACCACAAGACCATTGCTTCGGAACTGCTCGTTTTTCTTCGAGTTAACTCATCTGTTGAGAGAAATTATCATCAGGGAAAATAAACATTAAGGTTTTTTCTCACCTGAAGAAATGAGAAGGCGGTCGCTTCTTTGTCACAGTGAATGGAGTTCGTTATTTTGTGGAGTGTTGGTCGTAAAATTTGTAGTTGATTAATATTTCAACCTGTTCCATTGAACCTGTGAAATTTCAGAAACGAAGAAGCACCAAGTTTAGGATATACATATACATTAATAGCAAATTACTGATAAAATTTCCACGATACTCAAACAATATCGAACTTTATTTATTATAAAATGTCATAGCATGTTTACTTCTAATACAAAATAGTTTATTTAATTGTAGTCAACTAAGATAACAATTTTTCTAATTGAAAAAATTTTGCTTGAAAAATATTGCTGAGCTGGCAATAATTGAAATTCCAAGATAACCAACACAGAACGAGAACTTCACTTTAAATTACCGATAAAATTAGTGTATTCTGTTCAAAATTCTCCCCACACAGGCTTAGTATAACATGTTGCCTGCGGCCACCTGCCTCCTCTAATACTTATAAGCTAAGATCTGATGCGCCCGCTCTATATATGGAGCCTCATTTGCCCTAAGGAAAGAGCCCTATAAAGGGGCCTCTGATATACACCCGACACGCAGAGCTTTGTACCTCAACAGATTATATCTTGTACTCCAACTGCTGCCTGCTGCTGCCTGCTGCTGCCTGCTGCTGCCTGCTGCTGCCTGCTGCTGCCTGCTGCTGCCTGTGAGGGTCCAGTAGAGGGTACATGAGGGTCCAGTAGAGGGTACATGAGGGTCCAGTAGAGGGTACATGAGGGTCCAGTAGAGGGTACATGAGGGTCTAGTAGAGGGTACATGATTAGAGCCGTACAGATGAGAATGCTGAGTTTGCCCAGCTGAGTAAAGTTAACGTGTACAGCCCAATTTCAGTCGCTGAAATTGATTATTTGTCAATTGATATGTTTAGATCAAGTCATTAGCCTGCTATTAGTTTACTTAACTTCAAGCTTCAGAAAGAATTTATTACAAAAGAATGTCAAGTAAGTTCTCCATATCTTCATTGCAACCGTTTCGGAGACCAGTTACTCTAATGAATACAGGAACAATCATCAAAGAAAATATAGATATACACGAAAAATATTTAAACCTAGGTGTCAATAAAACGACAACGAAACGGTTGAAAGTTTCTCAATGTCAAAATGATAAGAACTATATGTGTTATTAATAACTGCACCACCCGAGGTGGTTTTACGCTAAACAATGAAACGTGACATTCTCGAAATACGATTTCAAGTTTCTCGGTTTCACAAGAATATATATTTAAAAATCTAAATTTAGTCCATAATTCTCCATAATTGATCCTTCAAGACAATTCAAATGTTTAGAATAACAACACAGTACTTGGTGTGCGTGCGTGAAGAGTTAGAGAATTAATTCAACGTCAAACAGTAACATTTACCATCTTCATCGCTTTGGATTTACAATGACACTTCTCGTTCACATTTATCTGTCATCTAAGCTAATGCCTCAAAAATCTAAATTCACCTTTACCATTAACACGAACGATTGCTGAACAAGGCCATTTTACGATGAACGTTGAACTTACGATCACGCAACTGATTTTTTTAAGCTTGCAGCCTAGTCCTGGTTTCTGCAGACTCAGCATCGCAAGACGATCGCTCGCACGTCACATCGTGACGGCGCTAATGATGCTCGTCTCTTCGCTCATCATCGAATTCGCATCATCAGACCATCATCGCTTATCGCCTCCACCCATCGCAGTCCTCCGATAATCAGGTTATGTCCT